AAATAAGATTGCTGGCTGTGATAGTTCTTTTTTTTATTAAATCCTGTGCAGTGGATTCTTCTTCTCTTTGTAATTGTACTGAAGCCACCAGTGCGTTTCACAAAAGTCTGTGCGGTCAGTAGCTAGTGAAAAAAGGGAGTTACGAAGGAGTCCACTGAAAGTGTCACTGATGTTCTGATGGTCTGATTTTGTCTCCAAAAAGTGGTTTTTGAGGCTCTCAAAATTTGTCTTCAAAGGTCTTCTAAGACCCTGTGCAGGCTTAGGGTCTAACCTACATCAGTAGGTGTTGCACATTGTCCGTGCCTGTTGGATTCAAGCTGGAGCTACTGTTACCAATTTAAAGGAAGGTAGAGGGTAGAGTGCTTGACCAAACAACTTTATTCCTCCTGGAGGCTGGAGGCATTAAATTCAATTCCAGTTGTTCTTTCACTGAAAGTGAAATCTGATCTGCCTCTGGTTAGTTTTGCTCCCTGTTCTTTATATATCAGCACAGCGTTAGTATGGGTTGGATGGTATATATTGTAGGGCATACTGTTGCAATGAAAAATGTCTTTACTTTGAATAAAAAAATAAATTACAGAACTCTTTCTACTTCAGAACGGATTGTTTTCTGAAGGAAAGAGACTACACACGCTTTGGTCTTAGACTCTGCTGACAGAAGTGTTTGAGTTGATCATAACGTTCTCCTTCATTGCAGATATTGGGGACCAGAGACTAGACTGGTAAAATCAGGTCATACTCAGTTAATAGCTAGAACTGCTTGTTATTTTCTTTTAAGTTGTTTGTCTCTAAAATTGCTGGGGGTTGAGGCAGTGTAGGCTGAAGAATTCAAGTGTGGAACAGTGGTGTTCCAAAAATGGAAGTTGCCGTGTATTTTTTATGGCAAAACCCTTTTCGGAAAAAATATTCCCTCCCCCACCCCGCAGCAAAGATTCGAAGGTGCCGCTTACCTGAAAGTTGCCAAAGCAGCTTCCCCCTGGCAGGGTGACATAGCTTACAAACGGGGGGCCCAAGGAGCTCAGTGACTCGTACACAACGGTGCCTTCACTCAGAAATACGGCCTTCTGCTTCTGCTTGCTTTCCCAGAACTCCTGCAGTATTGCTACGACATTCACTGTCAAAGACACAAAAAAGATGAACGGGGAAACGGTATAGGCCTTTGCTCTTGACTTGCTGTTTTCTATGTTAAACAAGAAAAGCAGACGTATGAGTTAGGAGCTGGATACGTTCAGTCATCATCAGCATTCAAACTTCTGTAATTGTCTCTGCTGGTGTTACAATGTGTTCAGATTGTACAGTAACAGACTGAGGACCTTCCAGGATTACAGGCTGCTATTGATCGTCCATTGCAGGTTAGTAATGCTGTCCCTTTCAGCGGATGTGTTGGAGCCCTGATTCAATGGCTGGAAGTGGAGCAACTCACTGTCAAATAAGAGAAAATGTTATATTCTGATTTATCTTTACTCATTCTGAAAAGAATCACATCTACCCAGAACAAGCAGCTGCATCAGCTGAATTACAATATGAAACTTTATGCCATGTTGAGCAAAAAGCGCTGTATAGTGTGGCAGCAGTAGTTGCAGGCTAATGTGAAAACAGAAATACAGAAATCACAAATTCAGCTGACCTCATGACAGTTGGTGTTCTCAAGTCTGGAACTTTGGGGTGGAGTTTTCTAAATAGGTATATGGGTGTGGACTCAAAAGAGATTGTTTCCTTTGTTTATGGAGAGACTTTTTACAAAGCCAGTTGTGTTGTATCTTAGATCTAATATTTTTCTAGGAAACGAGTACCAAAGGGATAGCCCCATGTGGATGCTCTTTTGACCTTTGTCAAAGCTGTTGCCGGTATTTGCTTTAGGCCTTGACAGAAACACTAGTCTACCCCAAAGAACAACTGTATCGGACATTCACCTTAAGAATACATGCTATTGTGAGCATTACTCTCTTATTTAAAATTAAAATTTAGAAGATGGGAAATGAAGACTTTACTCAGGACCTTGCAGTGTGGTATAGATTAGTCGTAGACAACAGCATGGATCTTTCAGGGTATTGATGCCGGTATGGTATCCTAATGATATCAGATATTAACCATTTGGGCAGGGATCAATGGGATTCAGAGGATACGTGAGAGCAGAGATCATTTCCCTCACTAGCCCTTTCCTTTCCACAGTCAGGCTGAGCTTGTTAATGGGGGGAGATGGGAGAAGGGATCCACCTTCCAACGGCTTCACTCCGGTGGTAGCTCATGTGCAGCACGTGCGTGGGGCATCCCTGCAGCGTGAGCCAGGCAGTCTCCAGATACTGCCTTAATCCAGCTCCACTAGTCTCGCCTGCGACACAGCTTTTCTCGGGCATTTGGCTGGGGAGAGGGTAGGGACAGGGAGCGTGGCCGGCACTAGCAACCGCCTCCTCTGTGCACTCTAGCGAGGACGAGCAAGCAGCCCGGCCCGAGCTCTTGGGAAGCGAGGGAGAAGGGTGGCAGTGTTTGCAAGCATGCTGCTCCCTGCTGTGCAGCTGCTACGATAGTGTTGGCACGTACCAATTCTGGCATTTGAGTGTTTGAAGCTGCGCAGCTGTCACGGCGTTCGAATGTTGTGCCGACCTAAAGAAAAGAGCTACTGAATAAGAGTGTTTTGAACAGGAAACGTATTGGGACAGCCCTCTGTCAGGGTGCAGCCGAGCTTTGAGAACAACTGAAGTACAGTGAAACTCTTACCACAGAAACTGACTGCTGCTTTTTGGAGTTATAGTTTATTCCTCTCTTGAGACTGTCAGAGCTTGTTAGCTGAAGGATCTGTTCTGCCTGCTGCTCGTGTCTGAAATTCAGCGCTCGGCAATCCAGAAAAATTAAGCAGTTATTTGGAATTGGTGACCCAGTTTTTACGCTCAGGAAGGGCAGTTACTCTCTTATTATGAACGATGAGTAATAACGAGCACGAGAGGAGAAAAATTGGACTTTTAGCCAGGCTAACTGCTAACAGAGCAGACCCCGTAAGGTCATCCACCTTGATGAAAGAGTATTTCAGAAACTGGTTCTCTCTGTTTGAGAGTTTCTCTTTGATGTAAATGTCTGGGTGTCTTTTATTAGACCTTCTGCTCCCCAGAGCATGCATATATGTATTGGGTAACAATCTAGTCTAAAACCCATTAAGTGAAAGCTGAAATTAGGCATAAATTTTATGAATATCAAATATCCAAGCTTTAAACTTGACAATTCAGTAGAAGCTGCCTCTTCAGTAAATAGATGGTACTGATGAAATTCAGACCTGAAGAGGTCACAGCTAGGGCAAAAAGTTGGCTTGAAATAGATCAAAATAAAAATGAGCAACATCAAGAAGACCACAGGTTTAGGATGGTGTCATAAAGCACTTTGGCCTTTCAAATAATTGTTGTCAAACAGTGCAGTCATTAAAAACAATAATCTAGGGTCTGCCAGAATACCAAATACAAGGGTTTAAGTAACCTGCAGTACTTTTGGTGGCCTTGTAATTTAACCTGTACATTACAGCTTTTGTTTAAAAAACACATGAATTGGTCTGAGCCGCGTCATCAGGTTGAATAGTCTGCAGCTGATGAATCAGTGCCGCAGTTGCCTGCCCTGTTAAAACCGCGGAGTGTTTTAAGCAACATCTAGGCTGCAATTTGCAAAGCAGCAGAAAGAAATCCCAGGACTTGGATTTTGTTGGGGCAGGGGAGAAGGAGAAATACCCACAAATGCAGTGATTTTGCTTATTAAGAGAAAATGATAGTGCTCCATGCAACGAACAGCCAGTGTTAAAACTGTTTAATTCCAGCAATAGTAACAGCTAGCCTTCTTAAATAGTTTGCGCGTGTGAGATCTTTGTTTCTCAATTTTCTTTAGTTGTATAGCAATTGAAAGCGTGTGGAATGTAAAATGTCTGTTTTTATTTCCATTCTTGTTCAGGAATACTTTTGAAGGTAATTCAGCATTTGGACAGCCTGCCTTTCTCTGCTTGGCTGAGAGTTTCCGCTGGAGCTCCTGTTGTTCTACAAACTAATATTTGCAAGAATTTTTAAGTGCCCCAAAGAGGTACCTTTTTTGGCAATACACCAAAAAAAATGATGTCCTAAAATGAAATGCTGAGACGTGCTTTTGGCTGTCACAACCTCTACAGTCAAAGAAATATTTCACTAGGGGACAACTAAGCAGTGAGTAGCCATTACAAGTTAAACTAATATGAAAAACATTTTGAAAGGAGCTGAGCTGATACTCGTATTTGGATTAGGATTGCTGGCTGTGAAGCGGGGTTCGTATGCAGAGGAAGGCTTGTTTAAAGGAGCCTGATTTTGTGCAGAAGTAGATGAGGAACACCCATAAAACCTGGCTCAACTGTGGGGATGGTAACATCCATCTGGGAAGTATTTGGTGGTGTGTGGATGGTGGTAACATCTTAAGTTAGTGCAGCAGTTTCTGCTGTGGTTTTTCAACCCCAGCCAAAGTGAGCACCTCAAAAGGCTGATGTATGCAAAATTGTATTCAGTTAACTAATTCAGTTAACTAATGGCAGGACTGAAGCTGTGGCCATGGTGTTAGTTTTCAGTTAGGCCAAACAATGTTACATGCGAATGCTTTTATGAATAGGTCATGAGGTTAAAAAAGCATCGCAATTTTAAATAGATTAACTAACTCAATTAATTTGAACTAAACTAGTAGAAGCACTGTATATAAATGTACCTGAAATGCTTCGTCTTCAAGTGTTCGTATGTCAAATATGCTGTGAGTCCTGAGTATTGCCTACTAAAAAATCAGTTTAATTTTATAAAAATGTATGCCTGACAACCATCAATTTAAATGTTTTCATTATATATTATGTATATTTCTAGTAATTTAAGAAGATATGAAAGATGTGTTCGGGTGTGCCGTTAATTACTTATCCTGAGACTCTCCCAGGATTACTTATGTTGTATTAAGATCTGCCAATATTCATTTATCCTATAAGAATTTCCATTCTTTCATTTCATTTTTAAACACCCCAGGTGGAATGTTGTTTGGTCAGATGCTATGTACTGGTATTTTGCATCCAACTGATTTGGAGAATAATAATGCAGTGCACTGGTCATTAGGATTTTGAGAACTCATTAGTCACACCTAAATGAAACAGCAAGATTTGCTTTTACTTGAGAGGTTTAACAGTGAGTAAATAGAGCAATGCAATTTACATCTCATTTTGGAAGGCCACTCTCTTCTACTTGCTTTTTGTATTTTGGAAGATGCCTATAAAATGGTCAATGCTTTTAAAATAACGATTGCAGTATTTATATGCATTGATAACTACTTTTCTTGAAAATGTAATTATCTGCACTTTAAAAATTCTTGTTCTCTGTATTGTGGGTTGCAGAATCAGTCAACTATATTGGTTTTATTGAAGTCCCCCATGAACTTCAGCCACACAATGCTGTATCCAAATACTGCATATGGGCTCCCTCCCTACCTATCCAGACTTTTTAAGTTAGAGGTAGCGCAAGCATGATCAGGTTCAAGGGCAACAATTTCATATATCCTTTTTCTTTAATTTTTTTGCCGTCTGTGAGTATTAAGGGTTTCACCATAGTCCATTGGATGTTGATTGTAATATGTCTAGTTATGAGGTGGGAAGATTATCTTTTAATGTAGATTTCTCCACTTTGTTTTTTAATCAGCTGGAAAGCATCTCGCCCAGGGGTTGAGCATCGTGCCTGGTGAAGCTGTCCAAAGCTGCAAATCTTGGTAGCTTCTTGGAAGCGCCTCTCGTCTGTGAGGACTGTATTTCTGGAGCAGGCTGCTTGGAAGCTCTGAGCTCGGCAGAGCAGAAACGCGCAGGATGTTCTGCTGCGCTTACCCTAAACGAACCCTGAGCTCTTTTCAACGTTCAGAAACATTGTTTTATGTCAGCTGGATTTGGAAGTGGATGAAATGATGAAACAGATCTTAAAACATGGCATTATTTTCCGGTCGATTTCTCACCTTTGGGTAGGAAGTGCCTTACCTCTGCTCATGGGTCAAATTACTTGTCATTGCAGCTGGGAAACAAAACTCCCAGAAATGAATTATGTCCATAGGTTTGTATTCCATTGATGCCAGGAAAAAAAAAGGTTCCAAACCTAGGGAGTT